ACACACACACACACACACACACACACACACACACACACACACACACACACACACACACACACACGTGCATCCATCCTGCTCCAAAGAGCCTCTGAGCCCTCCGCCAACGCAAGCTAGGGTGTAAACACGCAGGCTAACCCCCTGCCCCCACACCAGCCTACCCCCTGGGCAGTTTTACCCCTTCTATTTGTAGAGGTCTAGTCGACTTGATGCTTCAGGCTCAGGCTGTGATTACATCTGACACTTCAGCTCCAGGCTCCCAAAAAAAAAAAAGTCAGGGTACCCCCATCTAAAACAACAAAGTAAAATGCGTTAATAGCTCTGGTTTTTAAGACATTTTTTTTCCAAAACTTACTATTAGACAGACATGTGTACTACATATCAACAGTATGTTTTGAGATAATTCGCTAACAGACAAACAGGCATATTAAGACACAAATAACTATAATATCACCCTTTCTAACTTTTGTCTGCAGGCAATAATAAATCTATATTGTACTAATTTTTCAGTGAAAGTGACACATTGTAATAATCGATCTTTGAATTTTTAAGTAACTCATTTATAAGAAAACTGATTTGTGGCATTTGTTTCAGTTTAAGGACAATGTGATGAATTTATAGTATAAACAAGGTAAAAGTATGTGTTTGGTGCTTGTTTTAAATACCCAGTTCTAGTATTTGTTAGAAGTCAGGTATGTATGTATAAGTAGATTTTTTTTAACATGAAGATAGCCAAGGTAATTCCTCTCTATAAGAATGGTGAGAAATGTATGTTTACAAACTATAGACCAATTGCCATAGTTTTCAAAGATTTTAGAGAAATAATTTGTAAACAGATTAGATACATTTATTGATAAACAAAAAAAAATCAAATGACCCTCAGTATGGGTTTAGGACAAATAGGTCGACATCAATGGCTCTAATGGAATTAATAGAACAAATAACTGCTATTGATCAAAAACAGTACTGTGTCAGTGTTTATGTTGATTTGAAGAAAGCATTCAACACCACTGACCACAGCATTCTTCTTGGAACGCTGAATCAATATGGTATTAGAGGACCAGCATTACAATAGGTATCAAGTTATTTAAAAGATAGAAAACAGTTTGTACAAGTAAATGATGTAAGATCTGAACTCTGTAACATCACGTGGAGTTCCACAAGGTTCTGTACTTGGACCACAATTGTTTATTTTGTATGTAAATGACTTGGTAAATGTGTCAGGACTTTTAAAATGTGTTCTGTTTGCAGATGATATGATGTTTTTTTGTTTGGGTAAAGACATAGAACRAATGATATAGATAGAATTTGTTAAACTACAAACTTGGTTTCAACTCATTAAACTATCATTAAATTTAGATAAAACTAACTACATGATATTTAGTAAAATAAAGAAAACTATTGATTAGGGCTGCCACAAACGATTATTTTTATAATCGATTAATCACTGATTATTTTTTCGATTAGTTGACTAATCAGATCATACGTTAATTGAATATAAAACATASAGCTTATCGTGCCAGAATGCAGCTGCTATTATATAACCATCGTTAGATTTTAGCTATATGTTAACTAAAAATAATTGCTGTGGAAGGTAAGTTCTGCTCTGCAGATATTGTACAGGTTTCTCTTTCATTTTCTTAAAATGATCCCACACTTTGAGCTCTGTTGACAGGTAATCATGGTACTAGAGCCTGTGTAGCGGTTTTCTTACCTCATTTTATGATTTCTGATGGACATGGCTTGTTATGACTGTTTGGTGAAGAAAGTAGGATACTCATTTCAGACCTTTTTTTTTAAGCATCTTGCATGGACCTTTGTGCTTGGAATTAGCATATCAGTCGTCGCCATGCCTCAGAAGAACATGAA